CATTCTCTCTCTCAAATAAATAAATAAAATCTTTAAAAAAAAAAAAAAAGAAATCCTCCATTAATCTTGAGAGGCAGACCTGGCTTCCAGGCCCCACAGCGCCACATCCGGGCTCTGTGACACAGCCTTCTTAATCATTCTGAGCCTAAACTCTGCTAAGAGAGATGATATCCAGTCCACTTTGTCATGGGTGTTTTTTTCCAGCATTTTTTTTTAAAGATTTTATTTATTTGAGGGAGAGAGCGAACGCGCACGAGCAGGGGGAGGGGGAGAGGGATAAGGGTCCTGGCATCATGACCTGAGCCGAAGGCAGACACTTGACCAGCTGAGCCATCAAGGCGCCCCTCCAGCATAGATGATGCAACCCAGGCTTCCTTAATCCCTGGTGCTGGAGGTGGGTACCCTGACTAGGTTTCATCATTGCAAACAGCCTTGCTCTAGAGCTGAGGCCACCAGCAGTTCTCTGAGCTAGTAAATGGTTTTGAAGAACAGAGGCACCAAATAAAAGATCAAAAAGTTCTTTTGCTGTATTTTTTTAATACCAAATTGCATCATGGGGGGCTCACAGACCTTGGTTCGAGTCCTGGCCCTGGCACATCAGCAGCCATATCACACTGTCCCCCCAGCCTCAGTCTGCACAGCTGTAAGCCGGGGGTTGTTAACTAGAGGGAATGAGAAAAGCTCCAGTGGCCCTTAACCCTACGTGAGGCGCCGGTGGGCACTCTCCAGTGTGTGCCTTTGCTCCTGGAGGTTCTCTCGTGGACTAGGGAGGAGTCCTCACTTCCTGTTGTCCCAGCATGATTGCTGATAGCATGTCTTCTCATTCTTAAAAGTATCTAAGTTGGATGACAATCACATGCTCACCTTTGACCAAGAATGGCCTTGAGCATATTTTAGTTGGGTTGAAATGGCTTTGCTGAAACTTCATGGAGGTCAGAGGGTCTGCTTATGAAGCCACTTCTGTGCCCTTGACCCCTGTGATGAGCAGCCTGCCTAGGCACCCAGGTCAGCCCCGAGATGGGAGGTACGCTTCCTCTCCTGCCTATCTGCAAAGTGCCGTTGCTAACATCGTGTTCTTCCTCCACTCCCTGCTCACCAGGCTGGACCTGTATCGAGCCTCGGGGAAGTTTGAGCTTCTCGATAGGATTCTTCCCAAACTCCGTGCCACCAACCACAAAGTGCTGCTGTTCTGTCAGATGACCTCCCTCATGACGATCATGGAAGATTATTTTGCGTATCGCGGTTTTAAATACCTCAGGCTTGATGGTGAGTATGCCCAAGAGAGGTGTTTGTGGAGGGACTTGTTATCTACAACTGCCAAAGCTTCTGGCCGGTGTACCCTCCTTCACGAGGCAGGGCAAGGCCCGGAGACTAGATCTAGCATCAGGAGTGAGCGTAGCACGTTCAGGGACACAGGCTTGCAGGACTGGGAGGGAGGACTCTGCAAGTATCATGACTGGATCAGAGCCTGTGGTCTAGGAGAGTGGCCAACCTGGATCTGACACCCAGGTCTCCTGAACATGAGGCCTATTGTCTTTGTACTACAACTCTGGGTCCAGTGGTTGTGGTGTACTATGCAACAGTTCTCTTTCAGTGGGAAGTGGCAGAAGTCCACATCCCTTGGATATCAGGAAAAAGTATACTGAACCCCAGGGGTTATTCTTGCTTCAGGTACAGCTGGATCCAGGTGTCTAGATGATGTTGCTGGGGCTTTTCTCAAGCTCTTGGTTCCACTGTCCTCCATCTTGGCTTCATTCTCAGGCAACCTGTCCAGGCTCCCCTTATGTTTTTTCAGTGTCCCCAACAGAGGTTGCAGCCCATCTTTTCCCCCAGAGGTCCAGGGGCTGGCTCTCATTAGGTTGCTATGAGGCACGTACACTTTTCTCCACTGCCCTGTGATTGTAGATCTGTCACTGGTCAGGCCTGGAGCTGGAATCAGGCTCATCCATGCCCAAACCGTGTGCACTGAGGGTAGTGGGTCAGGGGGAGAGTGGAGCTGGTGATGCAGGATGACAGCAGGTTCTCCTGGGGACAGTGCTTAGCTGCAACCCCTGTACTCTCCTGGGAAGTTGTGTGTGTCTGCCTTTATTCCACCACATGGGAGCCCCAGGGAGGAGGGTGCTAAGTGAGATGGTGACAGCATGCTGGACATGTGGTCTGACACATGTCGATTGGCCAGTGAGGCCCTAGAGGAAGTCCCCCCTCTCTTTCCAACTGTGAGAGTGCACGGACTCACCAGAAGAGTGAGCTTCGGAGCCACTGGCTTGAACACAGTTAAGTCAGTAGCTTCTTTCCCACAGCTTCTCAGAGCTTTTATTGAAGCTCATTGCCCGGTGCCTTTCTCTGGCAGGATGCCCCAAATGTCTGCACCCTCATTTGTCTTGCTGTGCATCTGGTGGGACTGTGGTTTCACAGACTACAGACCTGTGGTTGCTGGGCTGATAGCCTGTCGGTCTCTGGCCTCCTCGCCCTCACCCACAGCCTGCCCTTTGTGCCCATCTTGCCTTCTGTCAGCCTCGTCTTAGAGTTCCGTCCAGGGCCACCTTTACAAGCGCAAATGACAGTGTGTGTCTCCCTGTGTCCCTGCCTCCTTCTGGGGCCTCCTTCCCACTCCTTGGAGACTGAAAACTGCACCCCTGTCAACAGGATGGCCAGGCCTTGTGCGCACTGGGCTTTGTCTGTGTCACGGTGCCAACCCTCCCGAGAAGCTGTAGGTAGAGAGCATATTCCCTCCTGCCCCAAGAGGTGTTCTTTCGCCCCATTTCTTTCCTTGTCCTCCATGGTGAGGAGAGGACTTTTGGTGCACTTGGCCACAGCTACACAGTATCCACATGGTCACAGAGCAACGGCAAAGGACAGACAGAGAAAGTAGGGGCTCAGCAACATGTTGTAAGATGGAACCTTCCACCGTCAGAGCAGTGAGAGTGAGGGTGCGGGCTAGACATCGGGGCAGTGGGCCCTTTAGCATGGGCTTGCCTGTTCCCTGCTCCAGGCCTCAGCCCTTCCTCCGAAAGGGGCAGCTGGGGGGCATGCCTGGAGCCCAGGCTCCTGTGGGCATCGGGTCTCCGTGCTATTCGTCATGATGGTTGGGCAAGTGGTTGGAAGCATTTAATTTTCATTTTTTTTTATGTTTTAGATTTTTTAATTTATTTGACAGAGAGAGCGAGCACAAGGAGGGGGAGCAGGGGAGGGAGAAGCAGGCTCCCCACTGAGCAGGGAGCCCGAGGCGGGGCTTGATCCCAGGACCCTGTGATCATGACCTGAGCTGAAGGCAGAGTTTAACTGACTAATTTTCATTTCATCACCAAAAATGACTCCTGATTTTGCCAAAAGCACTTTGCTCTGAGCTGGCAGCAACCCAAGGAGCTTAGGTGCCCCTCTGGTGCTCACGTGTCATAGATGGTCACATGAGAGTCCCTGTGACTCCAGGAAGAGGGAAGCTATTCCTGCTTGCAGGGAAGAGTCCCTGTTGTAAGGCACCCATGCGCTTGCCTGTAGAAGATTCTCTGTGACTAGAGAAACCCACTGCAGTGTGATTGAGGCAGGCACCAGCCCTCTGGCCAGTCCCTCGTTCCAGGCACCGTGCCTGGGCACCCACCCTGTGTCGTGCTCACATCGGGCCTGTTTGACTCCGAGGTGACTCGTGGCCTGTTGGGGCTCCTTTTCATCTGGGGTGGGGGGTGTGGCATTCGCTCGTGTTCACCGTAAACCTGAATTGCTCACTCATCGCAGCTCAGGCATGCGTGTGGAGCGACTATAGAGTTGGCCCAGGAGGCCTCCATGGGACGTGTGCGGGCACTGTCTCCGCCCTGGAGCAGGTGTTCTCTGTGTCTCCTCGCCATCGCCCCCCACCCTGCCCTGCGTGGTCCCCCCTGCTGACAGCCTTCTCCCTGCGCTCTGCAGGAACGACAAAAGCGGAGGACCGGGGCATGCTGCTGAAAACCTTCAACGAGCCCGGCTCCGAGTACTTTATCTTCCTACTCAGCACCCGCGCCGGGGGGCTCGGGCTAAACCTCCAGTCGGCCGACACTGTGATCATCTTCGACAGTGACTGGAACCCCCACCAGGTAAGGCTGGGCTGGCCCCCTGGTGGGGCGGGGAGGACTGGAGACTCCCCGGGAGACCCTTTCCCATCCCGAGTGCCCGGCGGCACCCACGGCTGCTAAGGCCTTTGTAGAGAAGCCCCGAGCGTATTCATTTTCCTTTGTCTTAAAACACCACTTTTTGCTTTTATTATGAAAAAAAATACTCCCATTTCTATTAAAAAAAAAAAAAATCCTGGTTTTAGGTAAATGTGTAGAGTGGAAAATGCCCCAATCTTACCAGCCGTCAGTGATTGTCACTTTTTTTGTGATCCAAGCCTTCCAGGCCATGTTCTTTGTGAGCTCTCACACACTTGTGCTTTTAAAACTTTGGGGGCATGTTTTTACACTGCTGCTCTTATTTTGTATCTATATGCCCTATTCAGAGCTCCATGCCGGTTACAGAGAAGTGGTATTTGATAGATATGGCGATTTTAAAGGGAGTTTTTAACTTTTTCTGATGTTTCATTATAAAAGTAATAGTCTTTTTTAACGCAGATATCAATAACTCAATGTAAACCGAAGAGTCCATTTCCCCCCCACACCAGTCCCGCTGTTTCTGACCACGAGCCAGCGTGTAGCTGTAGGCACACACCTGTGTTCTGGTTTTGATAGAAACACAGCGTGTTCTAGCACGTGTTCTTCCCTCCGGCAGCTGGTGTGTTTGTCCTCTCGGGGCAGGCTCACTGGGACTCCACACAGCCATCTCCTCAGCTGCCAGGTGTCCAGGCATATGGTGGCCTCGAGACTCAACTCAAACCTCACTTAGCAGGCATCTGGGTTTTGTTTCTCAGCGTGACCGCTTAGGGAGCTCTCTTGTCCCTTCCTTGGAGTATTTGTACAAGGACTCACCAGTCAACCCTGAGACGTGGGATTGCTTGGCCCATGGGCATGTCCTCTGTACATTCTGGTCACCTCTGTCCAAGTGGCCTCCAGCAGGCTGCCCCAGGTTTCTCCCACCTACGGTATGAGCATGTCCTTCCCCACAGCCTGGAGGCACTAGTGTGTGGATGGTAGTCCATCTGATGGGCAGATGCTCAGGTTGGTTACTAGCATCCCTTTCTACCTTCAGCCTGGGGCGTAGTTCTCACCGAGACCTCCGTGATCAGCCAGTTTCCTGAGATGTGGTTGTGGTGTGCTGTCCCCGTCGGCAGGCAGACAGTTGGCAGAGGTCCCCCTGGGGCACGTGAGCCAGTGCTTGGCAGCACCGCCAGGAAGCATGCTGGCCGAGCCAGGGAGCTCAGCTATGGACACAAGGCGCTCCCAGCCCCCCACCAGGTGTGGCCTCTGCCGAACCCACTGGGTGTGAATCTCGTATAGGCCCATACTGCTCCGGGCCCGGATGCAGGGTTTCGTGGGAACCCTCCTGATTTCGCAGCTGGGGATGATGATACAGTTAGTGTTGGCAGCCACGGCTACCATTTGATCAGAGCTTGCTCCGCAGCACACTCTAGGCTGAGTATACGATGCCATTTAGCTCCTCTCCCCTCACAGTCACCAGAAGGACCTGTGTCAACAGAGTGAGTCCTGAGGCTCATAGAGGTTGCGCCTCGGCCTGGGCTGCACAGCAGGGAAGGAGCAGGGCCAACACCCAAGCCAGGCATTGCCAAGATGCTGTCCGGCTTCGACCCTGTCCTGTGAATGGGTGCCCTTAACTGCAGTACGGCCATCCCAAGCGCCGGGGCCCTCCTGGGGTAGGTGAGGGGACCGTGCAGCTGTGACATGAGCTCCTTGGGAGTATAACGGCCCAGGACTTGCCCTCCAGATTGCACTGTGCCCTGGAGTACCTGTAGAATCCCAGTAAGATGGGAAGGGACGATGGGGGATCATCATCCTGGCACAGACTCCAGGTTGCGTTCCGGGGCTCCCAGCTCAAGAAGCTGCTGGTCAGGGCAGGCAGAAGGGCCCGGCAGGAGGAGGCAGGCACACAAGAACGGGAAGGCCTTTCCCGCCGTCACTGCGAGGCTGACTGCCTCTTAGATCTCCGCAGAGCTGGTCCGGGACTAACCTGCCTCTCTTCCTCTAGGACCTGCAAGCCCAGGACCGCGCCCACCGCATCGGGCAGCAGAACGAGGTGCGGGTGCTCCGTCTCTGCACGGTCAACAGTGTAGAGGAGAAGATTCTGGCCGCCGCCAAGTACAAGCTCAATGTTGACCAGAAGGTGATCCAGGCTGGCATGTTTGACCAGAAGTCCTCCAGCCACGAGAGGCGCGCCTTCCTGCAGGCCATCCTCGAGCACGAGGAGCAGGACGAGGTGAGGGCAGCGCCAGCCCCAACCCCCTCCCCGGCGTGAGTGGTGGACGCATGAGCGGCTTTCATTTTTGTTTTTTTACCTTTTTTGCACTCTTATTTTTTTTGCATCCCTTTGGAGTAAAGGGAGTGTGGGCTGAAAGGAAAGAGGATGAGTACTTGCTTTTTCTTTGAAGTGGTTTTTTTTTTCTAAACTGCTGGTGAAAGACGCCGGATTGACAGCCCTGGAGACTGAAGTCCTCTATTTATCCACAGAGCAGACACTGCAGCACGGGCAGCGGCAGTGCCAGCTTCGCCCACACTGCCCCTCCGCCAGCGGGCGTCAACCCCGACTTGGAGGAGCCACCTCTAAAGGTGAGAGGGGTAGTTCAGTCTCCATGCCCATTCAATCCTCGGCTTCTCGGCTGAGACGGCCAGCAAGGGCCCTGATCCCACGGAGCGTGCGTGTGCGTGTGTGTGTGTGCGCCTCTCGCTGCCGTGTGGGTCCCCATCCACCGCAGCCGGCCTGGGACCGCCAGCTCATTGCCCATGGACCGCCGCCGCTCGCCTCCGAGCCCGGCCGCCGCCCAGCCCGGCCTCCCCGCACTCGAACTAAACGTGTGAAACCTTCTAGGAAGAAGACGAAGTGCCCGACGACGAGACTGTGAACCAGATGATTGCCCGGCACGAGGAGGAATTTGACCTGTTCATGGTAGGTACACCTCGTGGGGCGCTCTGAAGGCTTCGCGCGCCCCACCCTATCGACATCAAGTAGAACAAAACAGCTTAGTCAAATAGGACAAAACTTCTCGGGGACGGGGGTGTCCTGGCGGGTCTTGGAGCTGGGTCCTCTCTCAGGGGGGCCCCACGCTGCCTCCCAGCTGACCCATCTTTCTCCCGTGGTCCCCTAAGAGTATTGCAGCAACAGTGGGACACACAGACACCCCCATCCCATGTGTGACCCTCAGTCTTGCTGAATGCCTGTCCTCCTGAGTGTTTCGTCCTTGAGACTCCCTTTCAGAGGGAGTTAACGCTGTCCCAGGCCTGTGGTCAGTCACAGGTGCCCCTTAGCTCTGGGTAGAAAACGCAAGTCAGCATGGAGTCAGAGTGTGGACCCTTGGCCCCTCTTCTGCGCCCTTCCCATCTTTTCTGGAATTCTCTGCTCCTGAGGCGGAGCCCCTAGCGAGGGTCTGCTGTTGGAGCCAGAAGCCTCAGAATTGCCGTTGAGCTGCCTGGCAGCAGTGGTGCCCGAGGCTTGAAGCCTCCCTTGCCACACGTGCCCTGTGTGCCCCCAGCTCTCCCTGTGCTCACGCCTCTCTCCCTCTGTTCCCTGCCCTGCGCCCCCCAGCGCATGGACCTGGACCGCAGGCGCGAGGAGGCCCGAAACCCCAAGCGGAAGCCGCGCCTGATGGAGGAAGACGAGCTCCCCTCGTGGATCATCAAGGACGATGCTGAGGTGGAACGGCTGACCTGTGAGGAGGAAGAGGAGAAAATGTTTGGTCGCGGCTCCCGCCACCGCAAGGAGGTGGACTACAGCGACTCGCTGACGGAGAAGCAGTGGCTCAAGGTACATGCTGGAGAGGGCCGGCCAGGGGCAGGGTCGGGAGAGCAGAGATTCAGCTGCTGCGCTGTGGGGCTCATCCAAAACGCGAGCGGGTTCCCTTTGGCCATTCTTGGTTTTCGTTAACCACAGCGACACCTCTGATACAGGGCCAGCTCGCTCCGGTCCTCCTGACCACTAGCACAGGAGGTTTACTTGAGGTTCAGGTACAGTGCTGCCGCTCTCAGCTTGGTGTGCTCTTCCGAGGGCCTGGCAGTGGGAAACACAGTGATGGGTCAGAGGGTGACCTGCCCTCCCACGTGGGTGGGAGTGCCAGCGGGGGTCAGACAGCCTCCCTTGGGGCACATCGACCCCAGAGCTGGACCCCTCACCCAGGTCCCTGGCAGCAACAGGTGTAGGCGGCTAAGTCAGGGCCGTGGGCATCTGGTGGGCGCACTGGGATTATGGTGACTCATCAGGCCCTTCCCCATGCTCGGGGCTCTGAATGCAGAGGTGGTGACCGGGAATCCAGCCCTGAAGTTTCATAAAAATGTCCATGAGGCAACCCTTCCCAGGAGGCAGGTGGTGGCGTTCAGCTGTGCCCAGCTTATTGGCACACCCCAGAACGAACAATGTGGCCTGCCTAGGCCTCTGGTCACACTCCCTGGGGTTCCTCTTGATTGACTGCAGCCCCAGTGCCCCCTCAGTCCACGAGGTTAGGCAGCCCTGGCCCTGTCCTAAAAGCTCAGAACCACCCAGACTAGTGAGCTTGCTGGCTCAGCTGTGCTTTTGAGGGAGCCGCTGAAACGTGCCAGGGAACCAGTGACCCTCGGGTGGGGCAGGTGCTTGTCCTGCTTCCCACCCGTCGGCCCCGAGCTCCGGGCGATGGAACGTAGGCCGAAACGCAGGTGGGAAGAGCTCCCGTGGCTCTGCATTTTTGAGACACGGATACCTTTTAAAAACAATTGCCTGTGTGCTAATAATGTTTTGTGCACGTTCTGCTCTTTTCTTTTTTAATATAATTTATATAACACTGCATTCAATCATGGACAATTCAGTAGTTTTTAGCGTATTCAGCGTTGTGCGGTGATCACCACAAATGAGCATTAGAACATTCTCGTCACCTCAGAAAGAAGCCCTGTCCTCTTCAGCTCTCTTCCTGTCCCTTTATTCCCCCTAGATTTTGTTCTAAACATTTCATATAAATAGAGGCATGTGTCCTCCCTTTGGCGACTGGCTTCTGGCAATAGGCAAAATATTTAGTAGTAGGCAAGGTTTATCTGTGTGGTAGCAAGTACCCTTCCTTCTCAAGGCTGAGTAATGCTCTGTTGTGCAGATAGACAATGTCTTTGTTCGTTGGCAGACAGTTGGCCTGTTTTCCACCTCTGGGCTGCTGAGAATAATACTGCCATGAACATTGGTGGACAAGATTTTGGCAGGATATATATTGTGATTTTTATCACATGAATACCTAGAAGTAGAATTGCTGAATCAAATGGTAATTTTTTAATTTAATCTTTTGAGGAACTGCCAGACTGTTTCCCACAGCAGCCACACCATTTTACATTCCTACCAGCAGTGTGTGACAGTTCCGATGTCTCCATCATCCCACCTGTGTTTGTCACCTGTCCTTCTGACTCTAGCCATTCTAGTGGGTACGCCGTAGTAACCTTGTTGTGGCTTTTAATTGCATTTTCTTGGTGGCTAATGGTGCTGGGCATCTCCTGAGGTGCTTGTCGGTCATTTGTGTATCTTCTTCAAAACTCTCTTTATTGGATGTGTGATTTGCAGATGTTTTTCTCCTATTCTGTTGCTTACTGTTTCACTTTTTTGATGGTGTCCTTTGAAGCACAAATGTTTTTAATTTTGACGAAGTTTAGTGTATCTGTTTTTTTCCTTTTGCTTGTGCTGTGGTATCATGTCAGAGAATCCACTGAGAAATGTAGGAGCACAAAAATTTACCCCTGTGTTTTCTTTCAAGAGTTTTAGCTTTTGCATTTGGGCCCAGGATCCTTTTTGAGCAGTTCTTTTTTTTTTTTTTTTTAAGATTTTATTTATTTATTTGACAGAGACACAGCGAGAGAGGGAACACAAGCAGAGGGAGTGGGAGAGGGAGAAGCAGGCTTCCCGCCGAGCAGGGAGCCCGATGCGGGGTTTGATCCCAGGACCCTGGGACCATGACCTGAGCCGAATGCAGACACTTAACGACTGAGCCACCCAGGCGCCCCCTTTTTGAGCAGTTCTTGTTTAGGACGTGAGGTCAGAGTCCAGCGTCGTTCTTTCACAAGCGGATGTCCAGTTTGCCCCAGCTCCGTATGTTGAAAAGACTTTTTTTGCCTCACAGAGCACATGCTTTTTTTGTAAATGTCGTACTCAGTAAGAGTTTGTGTTAATAAAAAAATACGTTTACCCAAAACAGACACTCTCTTTTCTTAGTGGTGGCCACGTAACTGGGCCCCCTTTTCTGACAGCCACTCCGGTGCCACATGTACCAAAACTCTTGAGAATGGTGCTGGCACTTGCCCTGCTGGGCTGACCTGTGTGCCTGGGCCTCGGGACCAGAGACCCTAGTGTTGCGTTCTTAGGGTAGCTGTAGCAAGGACCCCAAAGTGGATGACTTAAAACTATAGCAGTTTAGGGGCGCCTGGGTGGCTCAGTTGGTTAAGCGGCTGCCTTCGGCTCAGGTCATGATCCTGGAGTCCCGGGATCGAGTCCCACGTCGGGCTCCCTGCTCGGCAGGGAGTCTGCCTCTCTCTCTGACCCTCCCCCCTCTCATGCTCTTTATCTCATTTTCTCTCTCAAATAAATAAATAAATAATCTTAAAAAAAAAAAAACAAAACTATAGCAGTTTATTCTCAGAGTTCTGGAGGTTTGAAGTCTGGAGTCAAAGTTTCAGCAAGGCCTAAGGTTCCAGGGGAGGATCATTCCTCGCCTCTTCCAGCTTGTGGTGGCCCTGGCATTCCTTGGCCTGTGGCCACTTCACCCCTATCTGCTCCCGTCTTACATGGCCTGTCCCCCGTGTGTCTTTGTGTCCTTTCCTGTCTCTCATGGGGACATTCTCATTGGAGTTGGGGCTCACCCTGACAGAGGATGACTTCATTTTTGCTCTTTACTTAAACCTGTAAAGATCCTATTTTGAAATAAGATCACATTCTGAAGTTCCAGGTGGACATGAACTTTAGGGGACACTATTCAACCCCCCGTACCCCGCTGGGCTCGCAGTGCACATCCTCCCCCACGCCAGCCTTACAGTCCCTCCTGCCTGCCACACGCCCTTCATGCTGTTCCTTTGGCCTGGATGCCTTACCCACCCCTACCCTTCAGATCTCAGCCTAAGTGCCACCTCCTCTGAGATGCTCCCCTGACCCCCGGCCAGGGCACGTCTGCTCCACCATCAGAACACCACTCACCCTCCCTCCTGGCAGTCAGCATGCTTGTCACCATGTCTGCGAGATGTTTGCTTACTGTCTTCCCTCCGTGAGGGGCTTTTTCATGCTGTGTCCTCAGTGCCTGGCCCTGTGCTCGCAGTCACAGCTGGTAAATGTGAGATGGACAACCAGAACATCCCTTGGAGCCCTGCCCCAGCTCCCTTTTCTGGTTGCAGGCTCCTCTGGCTTCTCATCTATTTGTGGGGATAAAATGTGCAAACGAGTCCTTATCATTGAGAATGAATCAGTTGGTGTTGTTCAGAAATTAATCTTGTTCACAGTCAGGTCCTTCTGCTCAGCAGTTTCACTGCCCGGAGTCTATGTACAAGTAACACGGCTGGCAGTCACACCATTGGTCCGACTAGCACCCCGCCCCCAAATGGAAACAGCCGAAATGCCCAAGAAAGTCTAAATGAGGGTATGTTGTACAATGAAATACTAAACCGACATCAAAAATTACGTTGCAGAAAAGCGACAGGAAGTACATCCAGGACATAGTAAGCAAAAACGTGAGTCCCGGTACGGCGTGTGGATACGCTGCCATCGCTGTCCTCGGTGCCGCACGCGTACGTGGGAAGGGCCGGGAGAGTCCTGGCTTGGCCGGTGGTGATGGCTGCACACAGTGAACATACCTAATGCCCCGAAGTGCACTCTTAAAAATGGTTAAGTGGTCAGTTTTGTGTTATGTACATCTTGCCACAATTTTTAAGAAAAATGCCGAGGCTCTAGAGCAGAAGTATTAATAGTGTCACCTCCGGGTGGAGGGATTCCAGGGTCCAAGTCTTCGGGCTCCCGTCGGTGGGGATGTGCCTCTTTAATTGGTAAAGAAATGCAACTGTTGATTTGTTAAGGCCAGGCACGGGCAGGGAGCACCTGGGGGGGCAGAGCCAGCCTTTCGTGGCCTCTCGGAACCCACCTGGGGCCCCCAGCGTGTCCCGCCCTGCCGGGGCCTGCGGGTTTGCGCCGCGGCCTTTGCTTGTCCACCTCGGTGCTGGCTGTCCTATTTTACCACTATTGACCCTGAAGGCCATCGAGGAGGGCACGCTGGAGGAGATCGAAGAGGAGGTCCGGCAGAAGAAATCGTCTCGGAAGCGCAAGCGGGACAGCGATGCCGGCTCCTCCACCCCGACCACTAGCACCCGCAGCCGTGACAAGGACGACGAGAGCAAGAAGCAGAAGAAGCGCGGGCGGCCACCCGCTGAGAAGCTCTCCCCAAACCCTCCCAACCTCACCAAGAAGATGAAGAAGATCGTGGACGCTGTGATCAAGTATAAGGACAGGTAAGCCACGGAGCGCAGCAGGTGGGCGTTGGGGGTCCTCGGAGGTGCCTCGTCCGGCCCTCCGGTCACTGCACACACATTGCTGGCCTGTCTTTGTCTCGGTATGCCTGCTCTCGTGGAACTTAACGTTCTGCAAGAGGCAAGCACTCTGTCAACTGTGATGAGAGAGGGAAGAGAAAATGTCGTGGGGAGGTGGAGACGGGGCTGTTTTCAGGGATGGTAACGTTTGAGGGGGAGCCCTGAGGAATGGAGGTCTGGGGCCAAGTGCTCCAGCAGAGGCAGGAGCCGGGGGAGAGGTGATGGGTCGGGGGAGGGAGAGGGAGGGACCAGTGCGGTGATGGGCGCCGATCGCACGGCCGGTAGACTGTAGGGAGAGGGCCCGTGTGGCTGGAGCTGAGACAAAGCAGCTTTCCTTCTTTAGACTTTCTACCCTCTCCCCACACTTGGATGACGTGCCAGCCCAGTTCCCACCATGGGCCATCACGCGTGGGCCGCTTGTTGCGAAGACTGACCAGGCTCCGCTCCAGGATTTGGGGTCCCTGCCCTCCCAGACACACAAAATAGGAGACTGCAGCAGATCTGTTTGTGGATCACAAGTACCATTTAAATAAGAAAATAACGGTTCTGCCAGGCGCTCCCCGGGAGCATGTGCACGGTGGGCCAGCTGGGGCATGAGGCCTGCACTTTGCTCAGGGCTCGGCTCGTACTGCTCCCCCAGCATCTCAGTCCACTTTCTGGTACATACTGGCCAGTACTAGCTTGATTTTATAGTAACATGTGGCAGTCATTAAGCAAAGTAAGGGTAAATTGTAATCTGTAGGAGGGAAAAGTGTCGAGGTGTAAGCCTCAGTGCATCATTTGAAGAGACTCTTAGCAAGTGTGAAATTCTGGGGACTAGTGATGATTGTAGTACCCAAATAAAAGTTGTAAATTGTCCTTAAAAAAAGAATCTTTTATTATTAGAAGAGAAACAAATGACTGAGAAAGGCTTATTTCAGCTCAACCACCCACCCTAAAAATGTGGCATCTGTATTGGAGAAGAAAATACCGAACTGATAGGTAGACTTCACCTTTGAGGCAAATTCCACAAAGAAAAAAGTGGAAGAGTCACAATTATTTGAAATATGGAATGTGCAAAAACCCAATGAAAACGATAGATCCCAGTGTTTTCTTCCCAATTATCTTTTTGCGAGGGAGTCTTAAAATTATCAAAATGAAGAAGACCCTTGAAGATTAGGGGGCAAGGATGGACTTTTTCAAAAGTCATGCTGATCTTTTGGGTATCCAAAGCGAGTGAACCTTGACCTTACCCTACACCTTACACATGTGTTAAATTGAAATGGAGACATAAATGTGAAAGGTAAAACAAAGTTCTAGAAGAAGGCATCGATGAAAATCTTCATGGCCTTGATGTGTGCAGAGACTTCCTGAACAGGACACAAGCACCTAAAATTAAGAACATCTTTTCATCCAAGGACACCCTCATGAAGCCCCTGAATACTTGCACCGAATGAAATTTTAAAATGGGCAAAAGTCATGAACAGACATCTCCTGGAAAGAGATATCCCAGTGACCAATTGGCATGTGAAAAGGTGCTCGGGATCATTGGCATTGACGCCGTAATATCAAGGTAACGCACAATAAAACCAGAGATGCCTCCATACACCCACCAGAATGGCTCAGATTCCTTTAAGTGTTGGCAAGGACACAGAGTAGTTGGACTTCACGTACTGCTTATGGGAGCAGAGCGCTCTTTGGCACTAAACCTTCTGACCCAGAAACTCCAATCCTGGTTCCAGAGATTGCTGAATGCCTGTGTCCACCAAAAGACAGGTACAAGCACTTGCAGAGCAGCCTTGATTGTAACTGCCCCAAATGAAACAGCCCGGCGTCCATCCGTAGGAAAACATACCAGTGGTGGCCTAATCCAGGAGCAGAGTTCTAACCACCACCAGCACAGACATTCCGCCACTCCCTGGGAGAATCTTACAGTCATTTTGTTGAGTGAAAGACGCCAGACGCTAGCAAGTACCTACTGGATGCTTCCAGTTATAGGAAGTTGAAAAGCGGATCCATGGTGATGGGTGTGGAACAGTGGTTACCTCAAGAAGTGAAAAT